ACCCACCTACTTAATTATATAACTTATATCATATTTACAATATAATTTATATAAATTATACTACAATTTATAATAACGATATTCTTACTATTTTCATCGATGTTCTCTCAGTATTTTATTTTTAACGATACTCATAGCATTTCTATTTTCACAAATGTACATTTCAGGTTAATCATTCGCCGAGCTTCCACACGGACGCGCAAATCGACAAGGACGTGAAGGAAGGCCTGCTGACGAATACGTTCGAGATGTTGAACTTGCAACAGTGCGACAAGAAGAAGATCATCGAGGAAGATAGAAAGCGAGTGAGGGACAGATTGCTTCAGGGGATAAGCTCGAAGGACGGCGGGTAAATTAAGCGAGGATATTCTCGGATGAAGGGACTGTTGATCGAGATTGTTGATTCGATGTTAGAACGAACGAGCCGACGATCGGGACGACGAAACCTGACAAGCAGCCGGAGGATGATTACCTGCAGAAGCAATTTAAATGGGAGGACGAGCACATGGGGGATTTCCGGAGGATCTATCCGTGCTGCGACAGTGAAAAGTACCAGCCATTCTTCAGACAGACTAGCATCTCTGTGTACCAAGACACGGTAGCATCGAGAGCTCGGGAAGAAGCGTCGAGGATGCAAAAAGAGGAAAACGAGGTATTCCTTCGCTTTCGACGTAAACTTGGAACCATTCACTCATGCGAGCGAATTTCGTCGACAGATGAGAACGAAGGAACAAGAGAGCAGGAAGATCCCGGAAAATGATAAATCCAGCGACACGAAACTGCGTTCAGAGTGTTCGAGCGTGACGCTGAAGCCTGCGACGACGATGCAGGACAAGTCCGTCGCGAAGAGAAGTCCTCCCTGTTCGAATGTCCGTTTCCCGGGATGATCAATCGTTGAACTAAAAAAAAAAAGAAAAAAAAAACACTGAATTTCCTTACAGAGAAACAATTTTCCAAACGCGTATGTATAGACGAAGAAGCAGACGACTTCAACTACCAACACTTCGCACTCTTTCGAGCCGGAGATCATTTGCGAGTCCGAGGAGAGGGAGCGTGTCACGGCACTGGCGCAACGAGACTTCTTGATTAAGAGTTACGGCATGCTGGAGCAAATATACATGGCGATGAAGAAGAACGGCACGTTGAGAGCTATCGACGAGAAGAAGTATGGACTGTACGGCAGGCTCGGGCACACGGACGACCATGCGAGCAAAAGTGCGTCTATTTGTAGGCACAAGTGTCATCTTCATCAGCATGCCGCAGTCGAGTCGTGGACGAATCAATCGTCGCAGCTTTGCCTGAAAGCAAGTGAAGTAGATAACACTCTGTTCGGAATGTAATTGTCCATTGTATCATGCGAGTATATATGTAAATACGTGTTGTTTGTTGTTGTCCACAGGGTAAAGTGCCAGGCGATAATTTTCTATTTACCAGTCTAAAGAAATAAGAAATTTATATATATATATATATAGATATATACGACAACAGGTGAGGTATACGTTTGCATTCCGCGAGTACAAAGTACAAAATCCGTTTCTTCTCTCGATTCACAGATTTCAAGGTAATTTGCAACAAGGTACCGGTTTATATCCGACCAAGGATACCAGACAAATTTTGGATGGACGATTTAAATCCGAACGATCGGAGCTGCCGAGTTACCAAGGCCCACGTGGCTCGTATCTTATCGAACATTGTGCGTCTCCACGCACTTGAAAAGCGTGGGGAGTTTAAATAGCTAAAATTCTAACAAACATGTTGACGACCAAAAAAAAAAAAAAAAAAAAAAAAAAAGAAAAAAAGAATGAAATGCGATTAAACATAAATTTGGAAACGTTTGCAAACTATGTATCTGACCATTCTTTATAAATAACTCTACAAAAGTTCAAAAGCTTTGAACTATGAAAATAAACTGTCATTCTGAATTATTACAAGGAAGAAAAATTATTGTAAGCTTTCAAGCTGTGATTAGCTCGAGTGATTAGACGACGATTTTCTGAGATATGTATAAGAATAATTTAAAAATCAACATGGTATGGGTTTGTTATTTAAAGTGCCATATAAATATGTACACACACACACACACAGATGCACACATAAACACAAAATGAGCGAATATAATGATAATAATAATAATAATGATATACATATGTAGATATATCAATGTGATATACAAAGTTCCCCCAATACGTATACAGGATAATTTTCATTATTGGTGCAACATACATATACACATACGTACTTGTATATACAGATAAACCTCGGTAACCCGAATCTGCATAATTGGAAAATCGAAAATTACGCAAGACGAGAATTTTCTTCGCTTGTAGAGATCAGGGATTTTTCTTTTTTCTTGTATTTTGAAGTGAATTGTCAATTGTTTATACTTTAACGACAATGCGTCACGAAACGAACAATCTTCCCTTCATATCGAGTTATCGACGTTCGACGTGTATTTACGATGCGTGTGTATATGTACGGAAATATTTATTCACACGATAAGAAGTGAAACAATTTTTGAATGTGTAAACAACATAATTTTTCTTCTCTAATGATATATATTATTATAAATAATCGTAATTAAAAATTATGGCGGCACGTTGCTCAATATAACGATGCTAATAGTGAATAAAAATTCAATTATCAAATAGGGAATATTGATCCTGTATAAAATAATAATACAATAATGACGGTGATGATAACAATAATAATAATAGCAGTCGTAGTGATAAAGTGCTGTATTCAAATATACCATAATTTAGATGTAGTCTGGAGGAGAAATAAAAAGAAACATTACCTTCCCCATTTCGATCGTCATTGCATGCATCTAGGCAAAGATAAAGAATAGCACGATTAACGGATTCAACGCATTCTTGATTTGATTATAACACGATGATATTTACAAATCTGATACAAGATATAGTATATACTATATGTGCATATTTCGTATTGCTTCGTCACTACCGCATTTACCTTATTCAGACAGTGTGAATGTCGTATGTACAATAATAAATGACTGGGTAAATATTCGATAGAGATTCTACAAAATTAATAAAAGAAGAAGAAGAAGAAGAAGAAGAAGAAGAAGAAGGGAGAAGAAATCGAATATTTAGTCATTTGTTTAATATTGTATCGCACAAGCGGTGTTCGTTTCCATGAAATTATGATTGATCTATAGATCGTCGTGTTTCGAATGGAACTGAATTTTCGTAGGTAGTGTACAATGAGACAAACATTCGGGCACATAAGAAATGCATTTGCTTTGAACAAATTGTTACAGGGATTAAGCTGTTGATAACACAACTGTTGAAGAGAACCTATTCTTCTCTTTTTTTTTCTCTCTCTCTCTCTCTCTCTCTCTCACATAACATTTTCGTTTCCTTTTAGGCGTGCGTCAAGTTTGGCGACTCGTGAAACGATACGACTTACATAGTATCACTTCTGGTCAGACAGGCTAACTTGCTAGTTTACTTAAATTACAATCCATTCGTTTTGTACTACGAGAAAAAAAAAACCATTGTCCTTTAATCATTGATTTAACTTCAGCTTTAATCGTTTCAGGTTTGCATGTCCCCGCATAACTAAAATAATATCTAATTTCCCTTTTTTCCACTCGTTACTTGCTTAATCCCCTGCATTCCCGCGACATAATGTTTTTCCTTTTCTTCTTTTTTTTTTTTTTTTTTCGTAATAGAGAAATGAAGCGACCTCCAATACGACAAAACCTCCCTCGTCCTCGGCGACATGACAAAATATAGCATGAAGATATGTGAAGATGGTATTCTATTCGTTGTAATACTAATTATGAGCATTATGTAATTTATAGGATCCTGTGTACGTTATTCATGTATAATATCTTTTTTTTTTTTCGTTTTTTTTTTTTTTTCTTTTTCTTTTCGTTAAAAAGGATTACAATGAAACAAGCTTCAAGCGTGGATTACACGGAGCGAAACTCGTGAATCGAGGGCAAAAGTTTAGAAAGAAACTAGTTAATCCGAGGCGAATTCTACAAGTTTGCAAAGTCACTTCTCCGTATAATGCAGGCGTCAAAATAGTAAAATGATAACTGGCTACGTATATGTATATATATATATATATATATGTATATACACATACATATGCATATACACACACATATATATATATATGTGAATAAAACTGTAAAATCCGTGGACTGATTAATTTTTTCGTTAGTTGCCGACGGAATTCAGTTGTTCTTTTCCTCACTGCGTTATTTAATTACTCTTGTCGATAATAGTCAGTTCTTTTTCCAATATTATATTAGTACGTACTGACACCCAAATGGTACGTGGCAGATGTAACAATAAACTTTAACTTGACGAAGAAGTGTGTGAATGTGATATATGTATATGCGTGTACGTATGTGTGCACAAAACTTTTATTACTGCAACTAAATACGAGGCTTCATTCGGTATATAGAGTACGAAGTATCTTGAGTTTCATTCATATTTGTACGAATTTACCATCAAGTTATTACAGTTATTGCATTAGAGACGGAAACAACTGCGAGAAAGATAAATGCACCACACATTTTTGACATCATGCTTATTACGTTTCTTCTTCTCTTCTTTTTTTTTTTTTTTTTTTTTTTTTTTTCTTTCTTTACAAGATAATCGTATTCTAAATTTCGTTCAAATATCAAAATTTCTTACAACTTTTCCTGCTTAAGTGATTTGCGCTTATCAGAATGATTCTGTAAATTATTAGTTGAACATTGTATACTCCAGCATAAACCATGGCAATAAGAAACAATATGTGATCTTTGACGATGAAAAGGAACTACATTTCTAAAGCCACTTCCCTTATCAAGTAAATTCCTTTGATTGAATCTTTGTAAGCAGATGGAATTGTTTTTTATGCATGCTGTGTTAAAACTTATCGTTAGTGTCGGTTCATTATTTACACCTTGAAAATATACAACAGATGGTTTGTACCATGGTTTATACCAAAATATTTGAAATACAAAAATACAAGGATTCGCAGCACTTTCATTTATGACATTTGGGAGTGAAAAACAACGTTTGAGAATGAACCTATGTTACTAAAGGTAGCTAGCAATACTTTATTTTTATCGGTGGCACGGTACACCGTTGTTCTACTCAAACGCGTTTTTCACAAACCCAAAATACTTCGGTAATATTTCAATTGTACGAACGGTTTTATAGAAATTTACTGATGTTCTGATACTCAATGATAGATACGAACATTTACAATCACGTCGTGAGAACAATTTACATTGTTTGAAATCTCATATTACTCTGTTCTTAAATAATCTTGATTAGATGTGCAATATCATAATTTTAAAAGTACCACTTTTGGATTTCTTTGATGTCCAATGTGACCAAGCCTGATGAATAAATGGCAATGACAGAATTAGAAATTATTGATGAAGTAACACACGTTGTTGATTATTTTTGAATATCAATTATAATTTATCAGGAACGTTCACCCAGACCTAAATAAAGTAAACAGAACATAATTTCATTCATATGCAGATTAGCGATCTTCACTATTTATCACATATACGTACATATTTTTCCACTTTGTGTATATAGGATGTATCACGCAAGTCGGTGGTACTATATACACTTTATGATTAGAGATAGAAAAATGTTTCATAAGGATAAAGTTGAATGGTGTTATGTATATTCACCGATGCATGAAATATATAAAAGTTTTGCAGCAATATAAAATACACAACAATGTTCAATTTTGCTTTTTGATAAAAATTTTCCCATCTCTAATTTTTTTTTTTTTTTTT